AAAAGAGGAGATTCTGCTCAACTTTTTGTTCTGCAAACCCGAATATAATAAGCAGAGCAAGCTCTGCTAATAAAGTACTTACTACTTCTAAAAAAATAATAACTGCAATCTGTGTTAATATAGTAAAGTAATACTTATAAAAAAATAAGTACTACACATTTAAACTATGTACTAAGCTTTACCTTAAGCCTTTCTATAAGCTTAATTATTATTGCTAGGGTGCTTACATAAAAACTTAGAATAATAATAACTTTAAATATATCTACTTCTTTAATAAATTAACTTTTAAAGTAGGACTTATCTCTACTACTTAATACTGCAAGCAGAAGAAAAGAGTATTATGTGCGTATAAATCTTAATACTTAAAGCTTACTTTTAAAAGTAGGAGAAGCTCTGTTAGAGTATAAGCAGCTATATCCTAGAATTTTAAGTTAGAGCTAGTTATACTGCCTTAAGGTAAGTAAATAAACTTAAAAAAATACTATAATAAGGTCTTAGCTACTTACACGCAGCTATTTTATACTAAAGTCTTTAAAAAACACAGTATTATGTTATAGCAGAAGAATAGGGCTTTATACTATAGGTTAAAGATAACTATAAGTTTCTAAGAAAAGCTTTACATAGATTATATAGTGTAGCTAGCACAAAGTTTTAATTTAAATTTTATTAAAAACTTTTAGCATATTATAAAGATTTAGATTTTAAAAAGAAGACACTAAATAAGTAATATTAAAAAAATAAAGTCTATCCTAAAAGAGAAGTAGGATAGGTTAAAGCTAGAAGATTAGCAGAAGTGTATATCATCTATGCCCTAGCGCGTTGCTAACGTTAGGGCTGCCTAGGGAGGCTCTACCTGCTAGTAAATAATTGCTACTTTAAAAGATTCTCTATTATTAATTCTATTATATAAATTAAAAGCTTTAATTTTTAATTACAATCTATCCCTAAAATCCTCATAGAAAACTGCGTGGGCAGATCGTATTCGCTTGCGCACGGTGCGGAGGATGATCACTTCCTGGCACCTACTGTACCTGAAATATTACCGGCTATGTTAGATTCGTATGGCAAGCGTATCAGGAATCACACTTGGGCAGGTTCTAATCTCAGTTATACTACGACGGGCATATCGAGTGCCCTCCTATGAAAGTATTTGGACTGTGGAGATATAACTTAGCCACGCTCTTAAGATACTCCTGAGGTTGCGACCTACACTTAGTGAGCTAGGAGTCATTCGTGTAAAGTTACCGTCTTAGAGTCTTTCCAGAACTAAGTTAAAGGTTATATGATGGTTAAACTCATCGGTACAACCATCTTAGAGGATCACATGAAATTCTAAAGTGTAAGCGGGGCAGGAAGAAGAAGAAGAATGCCAAGTTAATTACTAAAAGAGCGCATCTTAGGAGCTATATTTATAAAGGAATGGAGTTGGTAGGGAGTATGCTGTGAAGCAGTGCCTAGTGGATAACATGAGATTATAGGAGGCAGTAGTATGCAGTAGCCGTGTTCAATGATATAAAAAGACTCCCCTTCTTCACCCGGAGATCTTTATCCATTGGAAGAGTCAACTCCATTGGTATGGTCTTCTAACAACCCTTGAGTACTACTAATTGACCAAGTGCTTTCTCTCTTGTGTCTCTTATGCACTGATAAATCCGCTTCTTCTGGTCCCAAGGTCACTAGTCCGCGGCTAAGCTTGAGACAGCCCTCGCAATACATTGCATTCGGGTCACTCCTTTTAACGAGCTGGTCCGCTAACCACTTGAAGATCATCCAGGCTGTTTGGAACAAAGCGAAGTTTGCCACCAAGACTACTAACGTTACGGTTGACTTGCTCTTCCACTGGGCCACAGAGCAAATATATTGTGCGTAAATGGAAGCCCTCTGAGTACTAAGTGGTCCTGTAAGATTTTTAAATTTCGTGTAGCTTTCAGCCATTGGAACCGAGAACTTCTGCTCTGCTGGCTCACCGGGTGGTGCAATCCCTTGGTATTTCCACCAGTCCAAGAGGCTGGTGTTTCTCAAAGGCCCTCCAGTTTGTCTGTTAAAGTTGTCCGGTGGGTTGAGCACATACTGGAGCAATTTAGGGTCAAGAAGTACATTCTCTGTATGGCTGTTTCCCAAGTCCACAAGAAGCAGGGAGCGAAAGACCTTCGCAAAGAAGAGTGCTTCGGTAAGTGGGCGGGACTCATTAAGAGTCTCATTGTTATATAGACCTGAGGGATTCGAGTAAACAGCATTGACAGCACTCCCAGTGGACGAAAGAGTGAAATATCGTAAAGTAAACAGCTCCGAGTTCTCGATTGACTTCCCTTTAACAGGGGTTAACGTCATGCCGGCTCGTTTCCACGGTTGTGTGCTGGGCGAGGCTGTTGCCATCATATATTGTATTCCGAGAAAGTAGTTATTCAAGAGCCGCGCTCCCCACCAGATGCTCGCGTGGGTAGTTGGATCGTCAACTATAAGATAGCTATAAGGACTTGAAGGGATCGAATTATCGAGGGTCACCTCGTTGTAAAGTGTAGCAAGATTTTTGTAGTGGGTCTTGAACGATAGAACAAATAGCCCTTCCTCATTGGCGATCTTACATTGGACGGTAGCATCGGCCGAGCTATCCATCCAGCTCCACCAACAACTGTTACAGTTGGTTGTATCGTCCGATTTTCTTAAATCAATATCGATCATGGAGACTTCGCAGTCTGTCAGTGTGTTGTTGTGATAGGATAGTGATGACCGATGAGCCGAGTTTGCCTTAGAGTTGGACGGATCGGAATGGAAAGACACTCCAGTTACCGTATAGCGAAGACCTAAGTTGGTCGTCATGAAGTCATATCCAACAGGAATGTCCAAGTGCTCGCACTTTGGATCGAGGGTATCATCATTCCAGGTAAAAAACTTGTTATTGAACCACCGTCTGTGGCTCTCGGTTCCGTTTGGGTTAGTAGTATACTCTGGTTGCATATCAAAGCCAGTTGTCGCAAGGTTGAATACTGTGAAAACCGCCAGGAAGAGGACTATGCCGACAGCGACACATCTCTTAAATCGTTTGTGGAACGGGTATGGTCGTTGAAGATTGTACGACAGTTCTTCACCAAAGAAACTTTGAGCTTTCCCTGGGAGGTCGGACAGTATTTTATGTCGGGGCATCTTTCCACAGTAGTCTGAATCTGGAGGGATCGTTCAGCACGTAGAGGATAGGCTCGACCTGCTGCAAAGTGGAGACGTTATTCCGGCAATTGTGTTAAGATCTGGGGCAGGGTTTTAGCTCACATGGCTCTCTAAAAAACTAGCACTTTCTTTGAAGACTACGAGAGTCTTAATGTTAAAGTTTAGTGAAACAACCCATAAGGAGAATGAGTCGCGGGGTGGCGGCAATAAATACTAGAAATACTAGAATATACCTGTGATTGGGGGCACAAGGCTGAAGGAAAATTCATTGCACGATTGGGGGCCAATATCGTATAGCACAGGTGGCTGTGAGACAAAGTGACTGCTGAGAAGCCAGCTAGGTTGGCTTGTTCCGGTAAAAACAAACCAAGTAAAAAGAAACCATCGGTAAGCATGAAATGCAGCCACATTTTGGTGCTGATGTTGGAAGGTGCTGCTTCGAGGGTTGTCACCCCTACTAACAATCTCTTACAAAAGTGGGTGTCCGCCAGAAATGACGGGGTTTGAAACCCAAACTCTGCTCTGGTTTCTGTTGGCTCAAGCGTCAACATCACTGAGCTGTATCGTCCAAAGCTATTGGGTATAGCTCATATGCTGCTACGCATAATGGAAATTAATAGTCACACTCTGTCAACGAGAATTGGTCTGCGGGTGTTGGGATCGCCCCAGGTGTACAACAAGGCTGTGAATTCGAGACCGACTTCAAGTGTAGTGTGGCAGAGCTGTAACGAACGATATCGCCTTGATTTCCGGGAGAGGGGTCCCGAGTGCGGATTTTGTTTCAGACTTGTTGATGTTTGGAAAGTGTAGAGTGTTGAGCAGTACACCTTTCAAGTGGCGGCTGACGCTGAGCTGCACCCTGTCTCACATTTCCTTTTCCGGAAGATTCAGCCTTACAGTTTCTATTAAGCATGATTGCGCCCATTTCGTTATTATATGAAATAATAATACGCCGGTCGTGTTAATTCGGTGATGTTAAGGTACATAAAGACATCACCCCGGGCTTGTTATAGTAGATGAACGCCCTGAAATGATTGAAGTTGAGGCGGGGGAAACGTATGTTAGATTCCGGTTTCCATCAAACTATTTAAACTTGTCTCAAGAAAATTTCGTCGCTGCCAGAGGACTGATCACTCATATTTCACGGACAGCCAATCAGACATCCGCCAATCATTCTTCAAAAGACCGTTATAGATTACAATAACGCAGTATGCCTCCTGGAAGCATGCAACACGCTTTACGGGATGCGAAAATTATAAAACTAATAGTGATCGCAGCATAATTAGCAGTAAGCAAGAGAAATTAAACCCCCTTCATCTTCCGCTAGCGTATAGTTCTAAGACATGGGACGTCAGTGGACTTAACAAAAGTTCAGTCGGCCTAAAATCCGAGCCGAGTTGCCATATCCCTGGCACTGGGCTGGCGACGACGATCTTTTCCAAATGCGGCGTATGCGCAATGTGGGATGTGGAATTCGGAGGAAGTCCAGCTTCGTTCAAAGTCCTTCGAAGACTGGCTTAGCTGTTAGGTTTGGGCCTCACTGAGCGGACACGGGCCATCTCGAGAACGATCATTGGGTTACTTCGCGCTGTCAGACGTGTGGCGGAACAAAATATAAGTCATAGAACCGGGAACTTGACTTGTTAGTTGCCGCTTCAGGGCTGACGACGCGCTAAGTATTAGACTTTACGGATGCATCGCCAGAAATGATTGAAGAAGTCTGCAGCCGAGCTGGTGATCTCGCCGGTGGCTCCGTAGATATTGTCATTGATGGGGCTCTGGTCTTTGTCGGCCAAAACCGGGAGAAAGCCCTCAGCACATTTCAGGAGATCCCGGAGATACTCAATGGGACTAGGATCTGGGTGGGCAGCTCTGTATAAACCAGCTGGACGTGCGAGAGAAAACCGTCGAAGTTGAATGAATAGGCGATACCTATAGGAAGCCAACAAGGTGGGATAGTATCTAGGCTAAGAGGGGGATCAATCGGGCCACACTTTCCAGTTCAAGGATACAATTAGCGAGGTCATGCAGAAAGCACAAGTTCTTGCCCCGAATACATTCAGGTTTATCAGGAGCACCTAGCCTAGTATGGTGGCCTCGAGGGTTAGGCTTCTCCTGCCGAATTTGGTTAGCCACATCTGAGGTATGCAAGAAGTTGGGCCGGCGGGGAGAAGAGCATCGCAATTTGCGGCGGCGGTCAATTTTTGTGGACCAGCCCGCTATGTTGCGGCAAGATATTGAACACTAGAATGGTCTCCACTTTATTGAACTACGGCATGAAGCTTGATCTGACGCAAGACGAAGAGGACGAAGACTACCTTGGCTGATCTGAAGGATGGGACTACCAAGTTGCAGATACCTCGAAATGTCTACATTGATTCTCAAAAGTAGGAGGAGGATGAAGCGGTTTGACACGTCCCGAATCCCAACGCTCTGCGGTTTCGCATTATGGATAGCAACAACGCTACAGATTCGAGGGATCTGATCAATGGTATAATGTAACTTTCAACTACCGAAGAAGCTGACTAATCTCATACATTTGAGTACGGATCTCAACCCCGGTTTGTAGACCTGATTTGGAGTTTCGGGGAGGCGCCAATAACGAACACACATTCATTGCACTAGACACTGCATAGGTACTATGCACCCTTTCTTGGCTAAAAGACTGGCTGACTTGGGTGCCAAATTCGGCTCAGCGATTTAGCTCCACATATTGCCAATGGACAATTAATCTTGAACGTAGTATTTGTACTGGTACCCCGTGCGATCCGTCTTTCGCCATGGCTCGCGATCCTCGGAAGCATTTGCGGGTCTGCGAAGGAATGAAGCCCGCATTACCCTACAGGCTAATGAAGAATATTATTACGGAGGCTGTCCTTAAGAGAAGGTCTATGGTACAAACGCTAGCAGATACTTTAACAGCCGAGAACTCAGAACAAGCCTACCCAAGGACGGGAAATCTTCTGTGCTCATTTTGAAAGTAGCAATCGCTTATCATCCCAGCTTTCCTATTTATGCGATAGAATGACATACTCCGAAACATATCGTTCACGGGAACTCGTCCACTCAAAGAGTGCTCGTGTTTAAAGATGAATTATAAGATAGGTTTCAACTGTGATACTGAGTTTTTGAGAGGATATATTTGGTTATCAATAATTAAATATACAGTATTGCTGCTTCCCAGGTGGGCCTTCGCTCGTCCAGAGAGGTGAGAGGGCTCGATCGGGCGGAAGGAACGCTACACCAAGATATCGAAATACCGTTGAAGTTCTACTATGGCAAGTCTTAGGAATAGTGAGGTATGGCGAGATTAATGAGGTGGACGGAAGACATGAGGTCTCACGGTCAGTTCATGGGGGAGACAAGGATCAGCGTCCAAGCTATTCCCTTTGCAAATTTAGTGCTGACTACAATATCCAACCAATCAGCAGCGATCACCCGTTCCCGTATCTTCGCTCCTCACCTCACTCAACCACACCACAAGCTCGATCACGATACCACGCTCGTGACAACTTCGGCCTGAAAATAGAGTCACAGCCTCACAGCTCGGTGGCTCATTAGGTAACTTCATACCTACCTAGCAGCGGTGAGCGTTGCATTAAATATCTCTGCGTTGTGCTTGTCCTCGAAGGCCATATTTCAGACTTGAACAGATCTACAAGATCATAGCGACTTCTATAATCCGCCTCTTGTTGAGCACGACTGAGTACTAAGAACAAAAGAACCTGGGAGTACGAACAACACCATGAGTACCTTCACACCCTTCACAGCTCCCTCTCCCTCCTCGCAACCCAAAATTACCCCTCGCATCATCATCCATGGCGGTGCCGGAAACATAACTCGTACCACCATTTCCAAAGCCCGATATGATGCCTACCAGGCCTCCCTCCGCAGGATCCTTGCCTCATCCGCCGAGCTCCTCTCAAAACCTGGAGCCACCGCCTTGGACGTGGCCACGCACGCTGTGTCGATGCTAGAAGACGACCCTCTATACAACTCTGGCAAAGGTGCCGTCTTCACGCGAACCGGGACGCAGGAACTCGAAAGCAGTATCATGGTTTCTAACGGGTACGTGAAGCGAGGAGTGGGTTGTATGCTTTTGCAGCGGGTCAAAAACCCCATCAAACTTGCCCGGGAGCTGCTGATTAGAGGGGAGGAGGAAAATGGAGGTGGAGCAAAAGACCATTGCCAGTATTCCGGGCCGTATTTAGAAGAATTGGCGAAGGATTGGGGGATTGATTTGGTCGATACGGAGTATTTCTTTACGCAGAGGAAGTGGGATGAGCACATTCGAGGATTGAAAGAAGAGGAAAAAAAGAAGCGAAAGGAGGAGCACAAGCTAAAATTCCAGGAAGAAAGGAGAAGGAAAGATTTGGAACTAGAGAAGCTTACGGTTCTCCAGGTAACAAATTCAATTGACCATATACAGGTAAACAGTAACGACTGGGAGAAATCGCATTACATCCCCCTCGGAACCTGCGGCGCCGTCGTCCTCGACTCCTTCGGGACGGTCTGCTGCGCAACCTCCACCGGTGGTCTAACAAACAAGATCCCCGGCCGTATCGGCGACACTCCAACCATGGGCGCAGGATACTGGGCTGAAGAATGGCTCGAAAAGACCCCCACTCCCACAGCCACTCCAAATCTCATTCCTCAGACCCAGGCGCAAACGCAAATGCTATACCAGCCCTCCCCATCCCCATCCGCACTCGCTTTAGACAAACTCTCACGTGGCGATCTACGCGGCCTAATGAGCCACTGTTTACCCACCGTCTCCCCCTCAATTCTCACTCCTGCATACACTCCCATTCCTGCATCAACTCCTTCAGCCTCTCCTGCGGAGAAATCTTCCTCAATTCGTCATGCGGTCGGCGTATCCTCCTCTGGCAACGGCGATACCTTCGTGCGGATGGCCGCAGCGCGAACTGTGGTCGCCGAATCCCGCTTCTCCTCTATCCCGCTCTCAGAAGCGCTCAGCAACATGACAGGGCCGGGTGGCGAGCTCCAGCGCTCTGCCAGAGATCGGTGGGGACATGCGCATGAGGGCGTAGGAGGAATGATAGGGATTGAGCTTGTGGGGAATAGGGGGACAGTTGTGTGTGATTATAATTGTGGCGGAATGTTTAGAGCGTGGACTGAGGAAGATGGTGCGCAAAAGTGTTTAATATTCAGGGAGGATAGCTATGAGAGCGGACCGAAGGAGTGGAGAGAGGAAGAGAGGGAGGAGGATGGCGGGGATTCTTGGTGATGGGGCTGTAACTCCGTGGAATCAGGATTGGGGCTGGAGCCTGGAGGATCCTGGCTGGTGTACATCAGAGGGCTAGATGGTTGGAATGGCATTGCTAGGCGTCCTTGATATAGTAAGGTTTGCTGTAAGTTTAGACATGTCGTCCGTTGGTATTTAATCCGGCACATTAGAGCCGCATACATGACTAGAGTAGAATTGATTTGTTAAACCTCTTGCCAGAATTGAATTTGTTGTGAAGAGGATGCTAGTTTCAACTTTAAATTAGGGTATTATCATATTCGCGCAGCTATTAGCATGCAACATGCTAGAAGCAAGGCAAAACCACCCGCTAGAAACAGCTCTACCTTACTACTTACCGACTGCCTTCCCAACATACTCAGCAATCGCCAACATTTTCTCTTCCTGCAACCTCCTCCCTACCAACTGCACGCCTACATGAGCACCGTCATATATTGCGGGATCATCTGAGAAGACGTCAGTCATTCCACACTACCCAACCAAAAGGACGAGGATTTGAACCTACAGCTCTCGTAAACCCCCTTATCTATCTCATCAACAGGTTGATAGCCGTCGTCAACCCCATCTATCATTTTATCAACATTCGTAACCGGCACCACAACACTCGTATAATCCAAGAAGTTCACCCAAGTACTATACCCATAATACAGATACATTTTTGGTCTTGCTGCTGGAAACGGTGCTAGGGGTGCAATCACGGCATCCACCGGCCTTCCCGTACTCGTCTTACCCGCCGTACTATTCCAGTACTCCATATACTCCTTCTTCAGCTCGCGAAGCTTGACATTCGTAGCTGCAATCTCTGACGCAGAGAATTCCTTATCGAGTTTAGCGTAGAATTTGACCTGGTCGGCAAGCGGCTCTCCGGATAGCGCAAACGCGGATTTGACATCAACCCCGCCGTCGAAGATCCATGATTTGGCACCCTCGTCCAGAAGGCCTGTGTGGGAAGGAGGTTGCCATTCGATCACTTCATGGCCTAGGTCTGTGAGTGCTTTTACAACAATACCGATGGCTCGACGAACGGGAGGAACAGGGTTGACAATCCCATCGGTGCGGAAGACTCCGAAGGAGAGCTTTCTGGCTTTGCTAGCGTCACTGACCGGGTCTATGAGTTCGAGGATTTCTTTCTCTTGCTCGTATCGCCAGGGGAGTTCGTGGACGAGAGGGTCGTGGAGCCAGGGTTTTTGGGCGAGGAGAGCTTTCATGACGAGTCGGAGAGAGGGGACGGTTGTTGCGAGGGGCCCCACGACGGATAGAATGGTGTTTTGGCCATCCATACTATTGGCCATACCTAACAATATTAATCTGCTACTGAAGTCTCTATGCAGTGACCATCATCTTTACCTTCATATGGCATGCGGCCAGTCGAAGGACGAATACCATATAAACCGTTGTACGCCGCTGGGATCCGGATAGATCCTCCGATATCCGTTCCAAAGCCGACAGGTGCTAGATCCTGTCAGGGTGGAGATTCTGGAAGAAGAGAGTCGAACTGACATACACCCTCGTAGGCCAATCAATGCACCTTCTCCACCAGATGATCCTCCGCACGTCAGATTCCGGTTCTTCGGATTCCATGTATAGCCGATGATGTTGTTCACAGTTTCTCCACTCATCAGAGTATGGGGCACAGCCGTTTTGCAGTATAGAACCGCCCCTAAGTCCCTCAATTCCCGTACCATTTCACTTTCAAATTTCTTTTCTTTGCCGGTACCGGTTTTCCCTTCAAACGTGCCAACCCAACCTACATATCCCATAGTCGTCTCGACACCCTTGACATGAAATTGGTCCTTTAAGCTGACAGGAAGACCGTGTAGCAGTCCAATAGGCTTCTTATTCTTGGCGTAGTACTCATCCAGAGCCTTCGCATCAGCGATAGCGGCGTCGAAGAAGATCTCGTGAAGGCAGTTAACCTAAGCTATCAGCAACTCCTCTTTCGGCCCTAACACCTAGTTCCGTACCAGTTGGTGTGCAAGCGCTGCTCTATGGCAGAACGCTTTGGTAACTTCTTCTGCAGTCCAATTCCCGGCCATTGTGTGCTTCACAATGTCATCAGCTGTTGTCTCTGTGATCTCAACCTCTCGTTCCGAAAGGTATTGCTGGATATATTTCCCAGTTACATCCACCTGCATATCGTTAGGCGGATTCTCAATACGCCATTCCTTCGGTATTGCGGCAATGATGGCATCACGTTTGCTGGCTGCGAGTTCCTGCCAAGACTTCGCCATTCTATATAGTAAGGTCGAAGAAGTAGAAAAGGGGTCCGGAGGGAAATATCACCGGAACACGAGTTAGGTTTATAGATTTGGGAGCAATGCACTTCGAGCTCGGGTAACGTAATCGACGTAGCATGAGAGCAGGTGGGGGACGAAATTTGGCGTCGACCTTCCTTATCAGGCAAACAGACAAAGATCGGCGCTACTGTGTGGGCCGATATGTGCGTGCCGGAGTATACTCAGCCAGTAAGGGCTCCTGATAGATGTGCAACCTGCCTGGGTGCAATGTGTAGATAAGCTTTCAAGTGTTGTGGTTGACAAAGGGCTTGGAATTTGAGGGGTGAGGCGAGCGATCTCGGATATAAGCCTTAAAAGCGCCTAGCTAGCTAAGAATAGCTAGCGCGTTCTTCCTTCTAAGCCTGTTACCACGGCATGATACTGCACATAACGGGACACAACTAGAGTATTTACTAGTAAGCCTCTCTCCAGAATGAATCCGTTTGTGAACCGGACACTCGTGCTTTGTTAGGGGTCTCAACATGCATATGCAGATATCAATATATTTAATAGCTCCTTCATCTCGAGCGGATCCGGCCTACTGGGTATCAGGTACAATCGAATCAATGTTGGGTATGGGTGAAAAGTCAAGGATAGAACATACTAAAGCACAGAAAAATACAATTTTATCTCATGCCACCAAGGGCGATTAAGAATATCTCAGTAAATGTTTCGCCTAGCAATGCGGAAAATATCAAGCCTAGAAGAATTCAGAGGATTCGTGTACAGGTCCCAGCGCATGATTCATAGCTGCGCGATTATCCATAGAGCTCATGGTCTGCTAAAAGCTTCTCTTAGATTTGCCATTGGTCAGCTTTGCGGCTTAACATGGCTACTCCAAGCCCACTTCCACTACCCAGTCTCTGTGAGTTCAACTCAATGAAGGAAACTGGCAAGCCCATTTGACTCATCTTTGACATCAACTCAAGCAACAAAACGCGATGTGGATGAGACTATGGCGGTGAGGGCGGGAAGCTCCTTCCTCGCAAGTGGGTATGATATCAAACTGTTGTGGTGACCTAATTGCTCCTGCCTTACAACACTCGCACCAGTGAAGGCGGTCAGGGCGGTCAGTCACACGGACTCCCCCTAGCACTCCAAACCCATCACTCCAACTCAGAAAACAACTTCACTACCATCTTCATTCCCATTCCAGCTCGGGATCAGAGATAAACGTTGACGAAGCCTCGCCATGATGATGATGGTGATGATGATGCACTCAACTCTCTTGCTGCTTCCGATTCTGGCCGCGGGCAACCCCATTGAGCCACGTGCCTGTACCACTGTATCCCCGACATTCGTCAGGTCCGTTGACATCTTGACTCCGGCGTACATTCCAGTAGCGGACGGAACAACCGCTGTCTATAAAGACTCCCATGCACCGGATCCAAAGGACCGATACTATGGCCATATCGAGGACACGGTAGTTGAATTCTCTGGTATTCCGTCCAACGCACAAGACTGCGAATTCCAGCTCTTCTTCGAGAAAGGCTTCCATGACATCATTGCCTACTACGAACCCGTCAAGATCGATGTCTGGAATGTTGACCAGTCGGCACCAAGTAACTCGTCAACCATTTCCTGGAACAACGCGCCTAAGCCAGTCGGACTGTTTGGTGTTCTTGAAGATCTCGAACTGCCCAGAGGAGTGAACCTCCGCGGGTACCCAGCCTACGACCACGATGTTCTGCGAAATGTGAATTCCAGCAACTGCAAGGAGACGATGACGTTCCGAGTCAGCATCTCGAGCTCGCTCGAGAAAGGAGGCGTGCAATTCCGTCAGAGAGATCAGAAAGTAGGACCGGTCGGTGGATGGCGGATGGTCTACAACTGTTCCTAAAAAGGAGCCGAGTTGGGGACTACCAATGGCGGGTGCCTTTCTTCAGATTCTCCTTCATAGACAGTCTACCAAAGAGGCACGCAGCACCACATGGAGGAAGCGTCATTTAGCTGCACTTTCGCACTTCCTTTGGTTTCTGAGTACCGTCTCTTTCAAGTTCAGCTATGGAATCGAGATAAGACTCGAGGCCTTCTCTGAAGCCAAAAAGTTATGAGAACCTGAGTAATGGAAGCGGAGAACCTTTTCTCTTCTTTCAACAATGATATTTCAATCTACCTCAATGGAGTCGTACGCTGCGATATTAGTGAGCTGATTCCCCCTTGCAATAATGATGAATGGGGGAGAACGTGGGGCCTGGTTTAGCAATGTTAGCTTGGACAAGGTTAGGTCCTGGAGGCGAAGAAGACGACAATGCGAGGTACCTTGGACAAAACGATTGGAAGGGGGGAATCGCATTTAATCCGACACGAAGTTGACGATCACACGACGCCTCCGGATCCGAACGTGTCGGAGAAAAAGTAAGGATGACGAGGGTGAACAAGGGGAACGGGCCCTCGTGTTCAGCTCGCTGGGGTCTGCTCAGCCACCTCGCGCGTCATCCGTGCAACGAAACAACCGCCCATGGTTGATTTTCAACCCCGCCATTGCTGCCAACCACATCTGTACCACCACATATCCGACATTTATTCACCACCTAGTTTCGGTTCCTACTAAACTATCTCCAACATGCCTTTGGGGCTTAACAACCCGCTGCCCTCATCTATGAGGAGTGCGTTGTCCTATCTCCTGAGTTCCGTACTCATCCCATTGTGAAGTCGCTGACCGTGCCCTAGGCGAGTGCAGGAAGACAGGCAAAATTCTAGCATCTTTCGTAGACCCACGGCAAGCCTTTGGGCCCGACAAGATCATTCCTCCCCAAATCCTTGCGAATGCGAAGGTATGGTTGATATCCGACGATCCCGCGCCACTATCCATACACGAGGTCGAGCTTTCAGACATTATGAACACCTGAGCTGACACAAATTTGTGAACAGGGCCTCGCGATCCTCACAGTCTTCAAAGCCGGCTTTCTCGGTACTGCGCGTTTCGGTTCTGGTGTCGTCGTCGCTCGTCTCGCAGACGGCTCGTGGTCCGCACCCTCAGCCATCGGAACGATAGGAGGCGGGTTCGGCGGACAGATTGGTTTCGAACTTACCGATTTTGTCTTCATCCTAAATGATGCAAGGGCGGTCACAACATTCGCGCAGGCAGGATCACTGACACTGGGAGGCAATGTATCCATTGCAGCCGGGCCGGTCGGGCGAAATGCCGAGGCGGCAGGAGCAGCAAGCTTGAAGGGCGTCGCTGGTATATTCAGCTACAGCAAGACTAAGGGGCTGTTTGCTGGAGTCAGTTTGGAAGGCAGTGGCATCATCGAGCGGAGAGACGCCAACGAGAAACTCTACGGCAGGAGGTGGACGGCAAGAGAGCTGCTTAGTGGCCAAGTCCCGGTCCCATTACCCGCCGCAGAACCGCTGATGCGGGTCTTGAACTCGAGAGTATTTGCTGGTGTTGGGGGAAATGTCGCTTCTGACGCTATGTACAACGATATTCCCGTGTACGATGACGCTCACGAGGATGTGGTATGGCAGGGCCGGAAGGGCTCGGCGATGGGCGAGGGTGTAAGGACGAGCCGCACAGGATCGATGGGCCAGGCAAATGATGACGAATACGTCTATCGTGACAAGCCTTCGAGAGCTAGCACATGGGCTGACGACGTCTACGACCGCACCCCAACTCAAGGAGGCGGTATCAATCGATCCTTTACCACCCGCGCCAACCGAAACGAGACCTTCGACACAATGGAGAACCGCACCCGAAGTGGGTCGGGTTTCAGCGACGATTACACGTTCAGTGACAACCCTAAGCCAAGCAGACCGACCGCACCAAAGCCTGTGTTTGGAGCGAAGAGAGCGAGCATGGCTCCGAATCAGGCAATTGCTAAATTCACATTTGAGCCTGATCAGGATGGAGACTTGGGCTTCAAGAAAGGCGATATCATCACGATTCTGAAGAAAACCGACAACGAGACGGATTGGTGGACTGGGAAGATCGGGGACCGAGAGGGCATTTTTCCAAGGTATGTCGCATTACCCACCCCCCCATTCCCCATTTAAGAAGTACTCCTGACTGACGCTGGCCAACAGCAACTACGTGGAGACGGTGTAAATATCTTCCTGATTCTGTCCTGTCGATGATCTGATACTTTCGTACCTACGATGCTATTCACGAGATACCTCCCTTCTGCCAATACACACACATAGAATGTCTGTCCTCTTTTGAACCTCGACACCTATCTACCTTCTTCGATGCTTGACCTCGCCTTCCTCTGTCACGACCGTTTCCTATGAAAAATACCGGGTGCTTACTGAAGGGCATAGCAAGGCGTCTAGGAGATATTGTTATTCCCTTTGTATGGTTTCTTGGGATGGTTGGTTGCATGGATGGAAAGAATATCTTCATAGTGTTAGATTGGTATGCAATCATTACTTAAACTAATGGGTGGGTGGACGTGATATTGAATTGATCTGAGTTTTAGAAAGCTCAATCAATCTCCAAGCCCATGTGCATCTAACGAGTGTAACGAACCAGTCTCCGCGTTGATGTTTCGCATCCAGCAGAATCTTTCTCGGCCATCCCCAGATTTTATAGCCAAAGGGTGCGAAACAGATGGATCTCTCACACCTCCAGACCATACAACTACAACAGCCCTCGCGGCTCAGCCTTTCCCTCCTTACCGCATACGCAATTTTCTGCATCACCACCAGGCCAAGCACCACCGCCGTTCCCATAACCTCTCTCCACCAAGTCACTGCCAAATCCTTCCAGGTCTCCTTAGTCAGCCTAGCCGATTCCCTTGTACACAGCCTAACACCCCAACGCCAGACCCGCATTAAATTTTCTTTAAACTCCTATCCAAATGGCTAGATAATGAGCGCCCCCCGCGCATTTTGCTTTATTGTAGGAGCTTGTGGCTAGCTGTGGGCTTGTTGATGTATCTGCCCATCGCCTTGCACGCTAGGCTTGTTTGCAATTCTGAAACAATTCTGCACTGATTATCAGCGACCTTGGAATTTTTTTGGTATACCTATCTGCTATACTATTTGTTAGTTTAATAGTTTTATAGAGTTCTCGCTTGACTTCTGTATTGATTTACATGTTGCTTTGTCGAAGGAGGTATTTGGTTGGGGTGGAAGGGGATGTATGGAGAGGGTGTTGTTGGTGGACCAAAGGTGGGAGTGTGGAGAAATTTATGGAGCGAGGAAGCAGAACGGGAAGTGGGCTGTGAGATCACATCGTTAATATGATATCTTCGGTGCCTATAGAGTGGGGTAATGGGGTCAATATTATTCAGCAAATAGAGTGAAAGAGGAGGTTGACGGTCTCAGACTGTTGGGTGTGAATTCCTCGGCGGAGAGAAGAAGTGATTCTCTGTTTAGTAATAGTGTAGCGTCTTTATCAAACTACACTACCTGCACCGTCCACCCCGGGTTAAGATCGTCCGTCGCAGTTGCAGCCAAGTGCTGCCATTCACAATCATCTCGCACTAAAACCATTCATCATCATGTTCATCCATCTTATGATTTTTCCTCTACTCCTTTGGCCATGCCGTGCTTTTCAAGTTACATACTAGGTTTCTCCATCCTGTCAGACCGCCGAGACATCTGCTCCCTTCAGAGCGGGCCTTGATGACAGTATTCGCATGGCGAAGCGAGCGCTTTGGAGACTTGACGCGGAAGGCCCCTATATGAATGAAATCTTTAAGATCTTATTTAAAGTACTGAAGACGAACACCGCGACATTTGCTTGAGCCAAGGGTGAGGCGTTGAATTATGCTAATAGGGATTTGGGCTCCTGTTTTAATCCATATTTTCTAGTCATTTTGACAACCATCGCTGAAAGACTCACTGAGACCTTTGACCAGGTCACGTCGGACATACAGTTCTACTGCGATGATGACGATTACAGCCCAGGTAAGCGCTAGACTATCACGCCCGACGAACCAGATGACCCGCCGTATCTGAAGAACAGTAATCTACCGCGACTCAAGCCCCTAGGTGTCAAGGACGAAGATGCGGTACTACAACAGTGGCAGGATGAAGAAAATTCGGTCCGTATAAGTCAAGGGAGTATAGGATGCAAGACCCTAGGGGCTAAGAAAAAGACTATACAAGGTGAAATAGTTGACTCGTATCCTTTGGCGGAGGTCCAATATAGGAAGTTTCAAGCAGAAAGAACGCCCGAGGGTATCAACCCCAGGCGGGTAACACTTACTGTACGTTGCCAAACCCCCATCAAAGGATCCGTACTTTGGTTCTGATGACTCATTAGATATGCAACAATATGCTTTTGGAAACAGGTCTGAGTCGTACAAGCGGCGCAACGGTATCTCAGAACTTTGAGGATTTTATGAAAGGACTTGACCTAGATCTCCTTTTCATAAACGAGATGCAATACAAAGACTTGTTGCTATCCGCTACGTTCTTTCACGAGGTAAATTTCTAGCCATTAAATCTCTGGCGTTTTGCGTTGCATTACATACAACTAGTGAAACAAATTAGCTTACTCACATGGACTAAGAAGGAATGGATAGTACGTGTCAATGCTCATCAGACTGTGCCCACAAAGCTAACCGTGAGCCAGCCTCACACCATGGATACTCTTGGGGGGAAGTTGTTGCGCTTCCCAACAATCTCGCGGTGAATAACGCCAAAACATACACAATTTACGTCTTCCTTGCCAATCTCGCGGATTACAAGTACAAAGTGAAGATCCGAGATGAAAACGGACAAAGAGTTGTCGACGAGAACGGGAGATTCGAGTATGATGAGAATACAGAGAGAGTCGGGGGGGAGCCAGTGTAGCCGTACTAATTTGCGTGGTTGCGCCTTCGAGTAAGCTTGTCAGAGAATGGCTTGGTTGCTTGGATACAATTTGCCTAGTTGTTTGTATCTCTGCTCGTTCCAAAGCAGCATCTGATTAGCTCGTCGACTCTCCGATTCTGTACAAGGACTTGGACCGTTATAGGCATGGACCATCTTACTGAATTCACTCGTTTGATACTGGCAGATGCTCTTTTCCTTTCTTAGGCAGCCTGCTGTGGCAATTATACGCATGCTACTCGAACACACTTCTATACACATTTGGACATTGGGCTCAACTGAAGAGATGATGTCTCTGCCGGGATATCACGGGACGACAAACCAATCCAAGAACCGCCTAGGGTGGTTGTATTGTATCACCCAAATGACGCAATCTCTGGCAATGTCGAATCTGTCAAGATTTAGTCATATTTGGCATAGTTACATGGTAGGAGAGACTCAAACGTCAGATCAAAGCGGCCAAAATAAGAAACTTTGGTCGCAAATTTGAACATCTCGGTTTTATATAGTCTTGACAGCAATTAAAGCGGAGCAACCCAATTACATTTTATGACACACCTAGACGGTAATTCCACTTTTACTCTCTGTTGCTTAGAGTTGTTGGTTAAAAAACTAGGGTTTACTAATATCTTGGATTATCCTTTGCTACCTTTAGGTCCTTGAAAGCCTAGACACTAAAGAATGTTTGTGTCTACAAATTGCTCTAGAAGTTTTATATTGAGACAAAACCATGACATAGAAAGATAATATCAAGTCATAAAGAATAGATTAAACTGCTTCCATGATTTGAAACAGTATTGTACCTCAGATAGATAGGTCAGATCTCCAATTTATACGCGCGGTCCCGTCAAGCCAATTTACAGGAGACTGGCGCTGCCGATCGCGGCGGATGATCCTTATTCGTCCTGAGCCTGATTTCTGACCCGTTCCCAAGACTTCCAAACTATCCCACAGAAGATGGCGATCCGGGGATTGGTATCTGGGGTTAGGCTTTGGCAGATTGATAGAGATGGCCAGATCGGGGTTGGTGCGGAGTGTCATGGTGAACAGAGGGGTCAAGAAAGCGCGTTCATTTACAATGCACCATGACATTGGATGGGTGTGATCAAGCCAGATATCTAAATGTCGGAGAGCAGGCATGTACTTGAGGGCCAGGGGGAGGGCTGTCCATGCTGATGTTGGGACATCCCTCTTCCCGAACCTTTGAACAAGATCCGATAGGTCAGGGTTCTTGGACGGGTAATCGCTTTCTTGTTCAATGTTGACGTACGCCGATAAGTCAAGCCTCATGCTGATATCCAGAGCCTTGAGGTGGCCGACGAGGTGTTCCAGCAACGTCGATGTTTTATTCTTAGGCTGCTCAGGCTCAGAATCGCGTGGAAGTACGATTCCGAGTGTGTTGAGATCATTGACATGCAGCACAATCACGTCTGCCATGCGACCCACAAATTCAGTAAGCCTTGGGGACAAGTCAGTGGTTTTGATCTCAATAAGCGGTCTCCGCGCTGTTTCCAGCATACATGCGACGGCACACTCTCGTTGGATTCATCCAAACCATAGTCTCCCCTTCAAATTCTTGCTGGGAATCTTCGCTACCGTTGGCAACCTCTTCACATCGAAAATGCGAACCCCATGGTGACCTCAAGCGTTCCCACAACAGGTGATCGGCAGCGGTTCTGCATTTGCCTTTCACAATTGGATCCGGGCCGGTGTGGAGAGGCCAATCTTCGCCATTGCGACGCACACATGCTGAGAATTGGAGTCTCTGATTGCGGAGAATAATGTGGGCGCGTGGAGGAATGAGATGGTCGTAGATGGCATCGCGGAGCTCGGATGGAGTTGTGAAAAAGGGGCTTTGTAGCTGGGTGTTGAATGACGCTGGTATCACCGCTTTTGCATCCATGGTGAGTGTTGAGGTGGAGTTGTTGAGAATAGTACAGGTGTCTTCTGTGGTGTGGTGTTTGGATTTTCCGAGTTGACATGCTGTGCCGCTTGCGCTTGTCCAAAAGTGACTTCCCGAGCAGTGCTGGCGGGAATCGGTCTAAATCGATTATCCGGAATCACGTGGCGCTATCCTAGATCTAGATTAGATCCATGAATTAATTCAGCGCTAAGGCTAAATAGGCAACTATTCTAAACAATTACTTAATTTTTTGTGCTATTGTACCCTTAATAGGTTATATAATAAACACTTAATAAAAATTTAGCTTAGAATAATAAAAATTTATTTACTTTAACTTATAATAGAAGCAGTTAATAGCTTAAAATCTAAATAATAATAAAAAATGTATATTAAGCCTTACTTTATATAAAGCATTAACGTACCTAACGGGTTGGCCGGCTACACAGGTTGGCCGGCCACTTTTGCTAAGCCTCTACTAAAACCACTCTATTCTAGCGCAAAACAGCCTACTTTAGCCCTATATAAAGCAATGCAACATAAAATATTATTTAAAGTCTACTTCTACTACTTTTTTATATATATATAAGTTATGCCTAGTCTAATTACACTACCTATATTACTTTTAACTTAGCTTACTTTTTTTAGTGCACACTTATGTCTTTAGCTTCTTCCTATTACTACACGCTTTAAACTCTTTTAAAGTAGTTAAATAAGCTTTATCTTTAACTATTAAGGTTTTTTTTACTTAAATTTACTTTTTTTTATGTAATCTATGTTATGTAGCAGCTTTATTTACTACTTAAAGCTTTATAATCTTCTTTTACGCTAACACTAGCTTATACATAATAATTACTGCCCCTTTTAAACCCTTTTTAAAAGCCTTTACTATAGACATTAGTAAGCTATTTATATGCTTCTAAATTTTTACTTTTATAAGCATTAATTATAACTTAAATTTAAGAGTATTACTTAGAGTTTATAACTACTAGAGCTTATTATTAATAAGTAGTAGTAGTAATAAAGTATATAACTAGATATTAAAAGCTATTTTAACTTATTTTAGGTTAAATAAGACTAAACTAGCGCTTTAAACCCCTTTTTAGA